GAGGATGAACGCATGGGTGTTTACACTCACTCACCTTCTCTTTCTTACAGTCCAGGACCCACACCCAGGAAGCAGGACTGCTCACTTTTAAGCTATGTCTTCACACATAAATCACCAAAATCAAGACAGTCCCACAGACACACCCACAGGAGAACATGACCTAGATAACCCTTCATTGAGACTCTTCCCAAGTGATGACAGATTGCTACAAGCTGACAAAACTGAAAAACAAAACAACCACAGTTGCCAAGGGTGACCTTGAACGTCTTACTCCCTTTTGCACCCACGTCCTGAGTGTTGGGATTACAGACGTGAACCGTTACATCTGGTCTACGCCGTTCAGGGACCAAATTCAGGCTTCTTATGTGCTAGGCAAGCACTGTGCCAACTGATCTCCATCCTCAGCCCACAAAACAAGACTCAAGACACAATTTTGTGCCTGTTTTTTTAATGATGACTAAACAATGACACTCATTTTGTAAGGACAAGTGACAGAAGACCTACATGAAGTGGTGGTTGAGAAACGGAAGTGGGTAGGGGCAGCAATACAGAGCAGGGTCAAGGTTCTCGTTACTGTGGACCACCTGGGCATGGCTGTGAGGCTCAGCAAGCTCCCTGGGCTGAAGAGCATTGTGAAAAAGATTTCAACATGCTAAAGGCCGCAGAGAGGCTGTGTGCACGGGAAGCCTATTGATACCTCCTGCCCAAAGATAGCACTCAGAAGGTTGGGTGGTGGGTGCCATTGGGAAGGGAATTCAAGAGTAAAACAAGACAGATCCTTGCATTAAGCAGCACTGAAAATCTGCCCACAGCCCAAAAGGGTAGCCGGCTCAGTCCTCTGAACTCAATGTCCACATGGGATTGAGAGAAAACGAGACAGGAGGAGAGAGATGGAGGAAGAAAGGAAGGGAGGGAGGGAGGGAGGGAGGGAAAAAAGAGAAAAGAGGAAAGAGGAAAGGCAGGAGGAAGGCAGCTGCTCACCCCCCAGCCGCTCACCCTGCAGCCACAGTCAGGAAACAGAGGTAGGTGAATGCTGGCTCTCTCCTTTCTTTTCAGTTGGGAACCCAAGACCTTGGGACGGTGCCACCTCCCTCCAGGGTAGGTCTTCCCACCTCAGCTCAATAGAAACTCCCTCATAGGCATGGACAAAGGCTTGGTCTATAGGTGACTCTAGGTCCTGCCCAGGTACCAATCAATATGAACTACTACACAGCTCATGATGCTGTAGGAAAGAGGCAAGAGGAAAGGAGGGAAGGGATGGGGAGAGGGAAGAGAGGAAATGCAGAGGACAGAGGAGGGAAGGGGTGAAGAGGGGATGGATACAGAAAGCTGGAATGAGCCAGCCATGCTGAATACTGCATGAGGACTGATCACAGGACCGACACTGACTAGGATTGCTGCTGTCTAGGAAGAGGCATGGTGGGCCACACCCCTGGGCTGCAGGCCACGTGGATTATTCTCACAGCAGAAGCGAGCCAGTTGTACCTAACCGAGAACTCCGGGTCCTACTGTCTCAGCATGTGGATGCATGTGCAGCTGTGGACGCCAGGGCCTCACATAGACTAGGTGGGCGCTGTGCATGGAACTGCACTCCAGCCCACACGGTGTTCTGTTACCACTTACCGAAGCTGGGAACACGGCAGGCCCTCTATGGCCATCTGGTGAGAGTTCACAGATGCCAAGTGAACATGCGGTCACAGCAGATGGGGCTCAACCACCAGTTGCTTATTATGCAAGGTCAGTGCCACCTGCCACAGAGAGGGTTCCACAGCTGCCAAGGAACCCACAGTAACAAGACAGGTGTCATTCTCGTGCCCCCACACACTCCTCCCCAGCCTGCCTTCTGTTTGCTTTCTCAAGGCCTAGGTGAGAGGACAGAGAGAGACAGACAGAATAACAAACAAGTTGCTTGGCCCTGTGATTTGAAAATCACTTCCAGGGAGACTGGGAATGAAGAAAGGACAGTGGGGTCCTGCCGTCTCTCCCCTGGCCCTCCTGCAGTCTTGGGTCAGTGCTCCTATTCACGCAGCCTTCCAACACAATGCTCTCTCTCTCATCCCTGTGGCCTTCCTCCCTCCCACACGTTTAGTCCTGGGGTGTTACGAGCTGTGTAATAGTTCATATTGATTGGTACCTGGGCAGGACCTAGAGTCACCTATAGACCAAGCCTTTGTCCATGCCTATGAGGGAGTTTCTATTGAGCTGAGGTGGGAAGACCTACCCTGAAGGTAGGTGGCACCGTCCCAAGGTCTTGGGTTCCCAACTGAAAAGAAAGGAGAGAGTCAGCATTCACCTACCTCTGTTTCCTGACTGTGACTGCAGGGTGAGCAGCTGGGGGGTGAGCAGCTGCCTTCCTCCTGCCTCCATGACTTCCCCACCATGACAGGCTGTATCCTGCCTCAAAATAAGCCCTTCCTGAAGTTGCTTTTGTTGGGAAATTTGTCATAGCAGTGGGACAATAACTAATACGAGTTGTTACCCTTCTTTGTTTCCCATACTGCACCAGCCTGGCTGCTTCCCAACTCCCTGCTTGGGCATTTCCACCTAGAACCTTCCTGACACCCACTCAGGCTTTCCCAATTGAAGTATGCCAGACCACCAGGTGCCCGAACATGCTGAGCCGATGTCCTTTCTCAGCTCTCACACTTTGAAAACCATCCTCCACTGTGTTTTTCACTGTGTTCTGAGTACTACACCCAAACATCCCAGATACATTTTCCAGTTGAATCCACAGAACTCTACTAAAGTAGATTTTGTTTTCAGGCTCAGTCATAGATGAGGACTCTGAGGCTCACAGCCAATAGCACATGGTCAATAAAGGCCGTGCTTCTCTGTGGGAGTAGCACGATTCTCCAGTCACATATCTATTGAGTGTAGGTTATCACTTTATGGACCATAAGTACCTTCTCACCCTGACTCAAGGAGTTCATGGTACTGGTTCCCATTGCCATCTCAGTAAGCAGATCTGTACCAGATACTTGTAGCTCTCCAATTGATTGCCTGAAGGTCAGTCTCCATATATCTAAAGTTTAGGGACCATTTGCCTTAGATGGTATAAAGGAGTAAAAAATGCCTCTTTAAAACTCAAGTCCTGGGCTAAAGAGACTGCTCAGTGGTTAAGAACCCTAGAGGATCCTCCAAAGGACCTAGGTTTGGCTCCCAGCACCCACATGACTGCTAACAACCATCTGTAACTCCAGTTTCTAGGGATCCAATGTCCTTGTCTGGCCTCAGCATGTATATAAACATATATGGAGGTAAACCATCCACACATGTATAATAATAAAGTCATAATAAAGGGGAACCTCATGTCTACTTGGAACCTCTAAGTGTGACCTCACAGAGAAAGTCTTTGCAGATGTAACTGCAAATCTCAAGACAAGACATTCTTGTTTCAGAGTGAGCCCAAATCCTGATAGGAGAGGAGGGTGCCAAGAGACACAGAGGAGAAGGATGTGTAATGAAGAGGCAGACCTGGGAGTGATGCTGCCAAAGCCAGGGCAAAGCTATACCTGGAATATCAAGGAATTCTTCCAGAGGACCCAAATCTCAAGGAATATTTGGTGTTATTTGGCTTTTAATATATCAGCTGTTTCCTGCTATGAACTTCATGTGCGTTCTCATACTAACAATGTAATTGTCTGAAATACTTCTCAAGTGTCCTAGGCCAAAATGGCAGACAGAATAAGCTCTTCAGACCCACTGCTGATCTGAATTAAGGTAAACACCTGTATGGAGACACAGCCTGTCCCTTAGGCCTAGGAAACAGGCAGAAATTAGGTGCATAGCTTTGTTTCTTGTGCAAATGAAGCTCAGACCCTCCTTTCTCTCACAGCCCAAGCCCAAGCAGCATTCCAGAGCAACTGACTCAGAACAAAAGGGCTTTTTGCATACCAGGTGCAGTGTAGCTATGAGGCAGGTTTCCCAGCTCCGAACAGAGTCACCCACCCTGCCAGTAAATAACAGCATAGGAAAACAGAGGCGACACACAGAGCTTGCAAGGGGGTAAACTGGTTCTGGGAGAGGAACTGGAAGGAACAAAGGTGTAGATAAATGAAGATAAAGATGAGGATGGAGATGGAAAAGAACTTGGAGTTATGAGAGGACAGGAGGAGAAGGGACAGAGGAAAACTAGATTGGAGGACAAGAACCAGAAAGATGAGATGGAAGATGGGGAAGAACTGGGTGGGTAAGAATGAGATAAGAAAGACCAAGAAGGGGCAGAACTAAGATGAAGGAATTAAGATAGCATTTAGAGGGAACAGCAGAAAGATGTGGAGAGAATCAGGCAAGAAAGGAACTAAGAGAACAGAGTAGAAGTCATAGAGAAAGAACTGACTTAGAAAAATAAAGTGAATGAACTAAGAGTTTTGTGTATGTAGATTCATTTAATATCATCAAAGATTAGAATATCTGCTGGTTGTAGATTTCTTCCATGGATCCTGGGAGAGGGCTATTGAGCAGCTGGACCCCCATACTCCTTGATTCTCTCTCTCTCTCTCTCTCTCTCTCTCTCTCTCTCATACACACACACACACACACACACACACACACACACACACACACACACACACACACTCAGAGAGAGAGAGGACAGGGTTGTAGAAAAGGGTTTTGCTGTTTAAAATCACAGTTTCTGGTAATTTGTTTCCTTGGATACTAATGCAGCTGGATTAAAGCCTCCTGGTGAACCCTCACAGACACACTCTCTAACCTGATGCAAGCTTCCAGGCCAAAAGGGTAACTCAGGCTAAGGAAAACATATATTTGGCTGATTAACCCACTCTTCCCTCTTGGGGACCGATGGCTGCCAAGCATGGCATGGCCATGACTGTAAGGATGATGTCCTTAATTATATCACCAGTCTACAACGGCATCTCAGCCTCTCTGTGCTCTCTTTTCTGTATCACCTCTCCTTGCATATTCTCCCTCCTCCTCACGGGGTCTCTCTCTATCTATCTATCTCTTTCTGTCCCAATAAAAGCTCTAGAAAGGTAACCATGGCTCATGACTCTTCCATCACCGATACATCCAGCACTCTCCTCCGTCGGCATGGCTGCCGCGAGCACCACCACTTAACCAACATTTGGTGTCGTGACTCGGATAGACCACCAAGGACCTCTGTGACCACTGGCTGCCACTTGCCGCCTCCTCCCCCATCCAGCAAGACCGTGAGACCACGAGGGCGCATGCGTCCCTCACCTCCGCTGGACCCACACACAGCTACCACTACTGATACCGCCATGATTCTTCACCACAGTGAGTCTGCTGTTCTCATGGCTGTAGTCTGAGCTATATTCTTTTCAACGGACACCCCGAGGGTTGTCCTCGGACTGCACTGACAACAGCAGACGCATTTTCACTCCTGACGAGGGGGTCAATGCTGTCTCGGGTCCAACGGTGGACCAACGGCAGCTCAGCTGCAGCCTTTCCCATCCCTTGACAAAGAGGATGACGAACTTGAGCTGATTCATAGATCTCTCTCCACTCCTTGGGGACGCCCGAGATTGGAGTCTGATCCTGGTTTGTTATTTTTTTTTTTTTTTTTTTTTTTTTTTTTTTGGTTTTTCGAGACAGGGTTTCTCTGTGTAGCTTTGCGCCTTTCCTGGAACTCGCTTTGGAGACCAGGCTGGCCTCAAACTCACAGAGATCCGCCTGGCTCTGCCTCCCGAGTGCTGGGATTAAAGGCGTGCGCCACCACCGCCCGGCCTGGTTTGTTATTTTAATTTTTTATTTTTCTCTAGGCTACATCCATGAGACAAAGGGGCGGATACATTTACCACTTATCTTGGCGGACAGGGGCAGGTACTGGTAAATCTGGCTGCATAATAGCTTCACAGAAACTTCTGCCAGCAAACACGCAAATAAAAGAGTTACTTTATCCCCAAGCTTTCTGCTAAAGCTCTCAACCCTTCTCCCTCCCCATTTCTGTCTCTGCCACGTGCAACCTTTTCTGTCTGACTTCCACTGGCAGTGGGTGGGCTCAAATGGACGGGCTTGGGCAGATTGTACAACTCTCACCCTAACTCACCTTAATTCCACCCACTCATTCTCAAACTGCCTTGGGAGACACAGACGGATCTGAAAGTGGCTAAGATCCATACAAATAAGTTTACAGTAGTCAGGATGGCTCTTAAGCCAAAAATCAGCTTATAGCCTCAGACAACTGTTCCAAAAGAACCGGTTTATAGTCTGCCTACTGGCAGATCTTCCAAAAGCTGTCCTTAAATCAACAATTATCAGGGAAAAAAAAAATTCAGGACACAGAGTAAAATCCATCTCTTGTTCCCCAAACCTCCCCAACTAAAACTTAAGCCTCTGGAGAGCAAGGCTCCTGATCCCACAGACAGAAGAGTCATCTGTGGCATTTAAGGTGTGCCAGGGAAGAAATAAAAGCCCGAAAACAAAATTGCCAAGTGCTGGCACTTGCTGACTCCCAAAAGCTGTTGGGTCCCTGTTTTAAGTGGGGAAAAAGGCCATGGGCTAGTGAATGCCCTGCCAGGCCATCAACAGCCTTGTTAAAAGTGCTGCCTAGAAAGACAACCAGTCAGCTGACTGCCCCCAGGTGCCAAGACACGTGGGTACATCAAGCTAGGACCTCCAGCAGACCTAGGCTTGGCTACAGACATGGCAGGGAACCCAGAACGCAGCAGGGAAGTGACCCGTTTCTTTCCTTCTGGACACCAGAGCCACTGACTTGGTCCTGAGAGTTTGGGGATGTCACCTCTCCTTTCTCTATTGTCAGGTACAGAGGACAGCCTTACCCACCTCACCAGATTTAATTACACTTTCAGAGTTACTTAATGGAAAAAGATTTCCAGCTAAGATAAGAGCTCGTTGTATCACTCCAGATCTACTGACTGTGTTTTTCAAGTGCATACAGACAGGGCCCTGATCTTTGCCTTGTCCCTAATTCCAAAATAAAAAATTCTCATACACCACAAGCTTTTCTCTTCCCAGTTCCCTATTCTAACTCACTGCTCAGCTAATGATACAGGACCACCCCAGAACAGGAGTCCAGAGATCATCAAGTGAAAAAAACAGTAACAGCTAAAAGGTATTTACACCTCCAGACCCAAAAGCTTCTGGGCGCTACAAAAAAGACTTTAATGTAAACATCTATTACTGTGAGATGCTTTTAACAATTGATCACCTGTCTCCTGGATGCCAAACTAGTAAAGGAAACAGGTGCCTTAAATAATCTGTCTCTGATAAAGCTTAACATGTTTCAAAATCCATCTGGACAGGCCGGATCAACCAACATAAAATAATAATGATTCTTTTCTCTCTAAGCTTTTTTCTATGTCACCAGCATCTTGTCAGACAGAAAGTTCCCAGCCACAGCCAAGAGGGATACATGTCTCCAGAACAACAGATGACAGACAGCATCCCACAATGCCTTTCTACCTTGGAAGACTCTCATTCTCCATTCCCCCAAGAGCCAACCGATGTCCAATAGTCAGCTGGAAGCAGCTTTTGAGAGAAACGACACCCCTATTCCCATCTACCTGCTTTTTTTTATAATAAGTGAAAGTCTGGGGTGTAAGGGTTCTGACCTTAGTTACGTCACCAGCCTGCGATGGTGTCTCAGCCTAAAAAGCAGGTGTGCCCTCTCTGTGCTCTCTTTTCCGTATCGCCTCTCCTTCCATATTCTCCCTCCTCCGCCCAGTCTCTCTCTCTCTCTCTCTCTCTCTCTCTCTCTCTCTCTCTCTCTCTCTCTCTCTCTCCCCCAGTAAAGCTCTAGAAAGGTAACCATGGCTCATGACTCTTCCCGTCACTGATACATCCAGCACTCTCCTCCATCGGCATGGCCACTGCGGGCAGAGACCAGCCACGAGCGCCACCGCTTAACCAACAATGACCACTTTCCAATAAGAGCAGCTGTGAGTACTTGCTTGAAAGTCTTGAAAGATCAGGCCTGTTGATGGGCTCTCATCAGAGGAGGGAATAGACAGGGTCACTAGACCCTTATCTGAGATTTCCCCTACTCTGTCCCTCCTGTCCCCCTCCCACATCTGCACAACCCTGCCCCAGCTCCACGTGGTCTCGGGAGTTGACAGCATAAACAGAAGTTACCTGAAGGAGAGACTCGTCTTTGCAGTTTCGTGAGGTTATCTTCCATGCTGGGGGTGGGACATTTGCAGTGATGCAGCTGTTTGGGGAGGTCACACACGGGTGAGTAACTCCTCATCCGCTCTCCTGTAAGCAAAACCAATGAACTCATTGGTTCACCGAGGTAGACTTGGACTTCCATCTGACATTGGTATCCTACCTAGGATGCACAGATGTTTGTCCACACACAGCAAGTGTTCAGCATTGGAGTCCATCCCCTCACTCATCCCTATGCCCCCGCCCCACCCCAGGGCTGCCCTAAGGGCTAAGGGGGGAAGGAAAGGCAGGCAGAAGCTGTCCCTCTGCAGCTGTCCTAGTGATTGTCACTGGAGAGACTGGCTGCCAACATTCAGTGTCCAGATCCAGGAGCACCTGCCCTGTAGCTGACCAGATGAAGTGCCACTCAACATATCGGACACCTGTTTAGGAGCTGATGCCACAGAGGCATTCAGCAGCTCAGCATTGAGGGGAAGCTCTAGGGAGCAGCATTCAGAATGGCAGGGCGTAAGTATTTTAGGTTTTCTGAAATGTTAGAGGGGCATAAAGTAAGGGCAGAGGCATTGTTCTTTAATGGTTCAACTGTTACCACCAAACAAGGTTTGCCCCAGGATAGGATGCCCCGCAGATTAAAGACAAACTATAAAGGAAATGGTGATTTAATTTTAAAATCCTTTGTAACTTCTGTAAGAGGGAAAACAAAACATATTAATCGCCGGGCGGTGGTGGCGCACGCCTTTAATCCCAGCACTCGGGAGGCAGAGCCAGGCGGATCTCTGTGAGTTCGAGGCCAGCCTGGGCTACCAAGTGAGTTCCAGGAGAGGCGCAAAGCTACACAGAGAAACCCTGTCTCGAAAAACCAAAAAAAAAAAAAAAAAAAAAAAAAAAAAAAAAAAAAAAACATATTAATCAAAGTCAGAGCCACGCGTGTTGGCTCAAGCCTGTAATCCCAGTATGTGGGAGGCTAACGCAGGAGGATTGTCATGAGTTGGAGGCCAGCCTGAGCTAGAGAGTCAAACCTTGCCTCAAAAACAGTGGGAGGAGCTCTCTTGGGGTGTCCTGTGTCCCAGTTTCCTTTCTGTTGCTGTGGTAAACACTCTGACCTAAAGCATCTTGGGGAGAGGTTTGCTCTGCTTACTTTGACTTCCAAGTGACAACCCATCCTTGAGAGAAGTCAGGCAGGAGTTCAGGGCAGGAACCGGGGAGGAGCGCTGCTGGCTGGCTCGCTTACTGATTGGTTCACGCTTAGTTAGCTTTCTCCTACAACCCAGGACCACCTGCCTACAGCCAGCACCGCCCACAGTGGCCTAGGCACTCCTGTATCAACTAATAATCAAGACCACCACCCCACACAGACATGCACACAGGCCAATCTGATCTAGGAAATTTCTCAATCAAGGCTTTCTTCTCAGATGACTCTAGGCTGAGCCAAGTTGATAAAGCTAAATAGGACAGACAGAGAACATAACAATAAGGGATGATTAAAATTGTTCGAATATTCAGGCAATGGTAGATAAGAGTTTTGCTTTGTTTTGTTTTCACTATTCGAAGAACATTTCAGGATCAAGGACCCAGCCACTAATGGAGGAAGAAATTAAAGTTGTAAAAGGCAGCTCACAGCTGGCTAAGTGCTGCTGCTCAAGAACCAGAGCCCCAGACCCACATAAGAGCCTGGCATGGCACCAGGCATCTGTAACCCCAGCGCTAGGGCAGAGGCAGACAACCCCAGGGGTTCACTGACCAGCCAGGCTAGCTGAAACAGTGAGCTCAGGCTCAGTGAGAGACCCCGCTTCAAAGAGGAGAGATGGTTCAGTAGTTGGAAGCACTGACTGCTCTTCCAGAGGACCCAGATCCAATTCCCAGCACCCACAAGGAGGCTAACAACTGTCTGTAACTCCACATTTAGGCAAAACACCAATGCAAATAAAATAAAAATAAATGGATTATTAAAAACAAAAGAACAACAAAAAAAAGACATACATTGGGAAAAAAAGAAAGAAGGTAGGGATGATTCTTCAGTTAATACTGAAGAAGACATTTTGGCAACAGCCTCTGGCTTCCACACACTCCCATGCACACACATACACGCAGGTTCCACACAGGTGCATGCGTACATGCATGTGAGAGACCAGCTCCCACATTTATTTCCC